AAACAGCAACCACTGATTTTTCAAAAGAGGAAACATTCCTAGGTGACTGCCAACTTTCTCCCTGTTTCTATGCCTTTTCCTCTTCCCCTGCAAGCTGGCAACTCCACCATTCCCCCTACCCTGCCAATCAGCTTCACTGCCAGGCTCGAACATGCCCCATGGAGTTCGGGATGGGCCCCGATGAGCCGGATTTCCCAGGAGCTGAAGCTGATTCCACCGAGGCTCCTGGAGCTAACGCTTTGCTCCCCTCCGTATCTCCAGAGTGCTTTTCACATAAATGACACAGCTCCTTGCAAAATGATATGAGCACAGTCGTCTTGTAGAGTATTTGCAGGGTCTTTACAGAAAGTAGAAAATAGGGCTGAAGAGCATGTGCATGGTTTTCAGAAATCAATCTCAACATCGCCAAGAACTTGCTCTACTCTCCAGCCTGAGGCAAATACCTAAGTCTTTCCCAAGAAATGCACAAGGAGAACCTTAACAGGCCTGGACACACCCAGGTTAGGGAAGAAGAGTGCTCCTGATCTTAGATTACAAGGATTTTTCTTCTTGGCACACACTCCTGCTGCTGGAGCAAGTGCCTCTTTTGGAGAGCTGATATAGAACAGCATGCAAGGCTTCCCTGGTGGAGCAGTGGTTAAGAACCCACCTGCCAATGCAGGGGACACGGGTTCGAGCCCTGGTCCAGGAAGATCCCACATGCTGCGGAGCAACTAAGCCCGTGCGCCACAACTACTGAGCCCACGTGACACAACTACTGAGGCCTGCGTGCCTAGAGCCTGTGCTCTGCAACAAGAGAAACCACTGCAGTGAAAAGCCCGCGCACCATAACGAAGAGTAGCCCCTGCTCACCGCAACTAGAGGAAGCCCGTGCACAGCAACGAAGCCCCAGTGCAGCCATAAATAAAAAAATACATTTATTACAAAAATAAGTAAAGAGTGTGCAATCCAAAGCAACATTTTTAGTACAGTAAAGGGAGAGAGGGCATTAAGCGAAGAAGCAAGTGGCTTTCCTAAAGCCAGGATTTGTTCCCATTGGTGCTGCCTAGGCTGGTAGGGTAGGTCAAGCTGCTATCGACCACTCTGTACAGAGTATATGTTGAAACCTGGGGCTTTTCTCAATTGCTGTCAATTGGCTTCCTCTGGCTCCTGTTGCCTGGGGTGAGGATGATGGACAACCTTGAAAGGGTTCTGGGATAAAAGCTTCCTTATTCCCCTAGCAGATCGCATGGAGGACTCTGAAGGCAGAGATCAGCCCAATTAGGGCTGCGATGCTCCTACAGTTTAAGAGATGGGAAGCTTATGCTCCCACCACCCCTTCGGAGCTTGAGGCTTTCCTGTTCATACCAGGAACACCGCTCTCTTCCCTCACTGCTCTTTGAAGATATTCTTTTGGCTGCAAAAATAACGAACACCCCAAGCTCTAAAACACTAGAGCCTGGGGCTAATCGTTAGAGGCAGAAGACCCAATCTGTGAACCAGTGGGGTCTTGGCTTCCTAATTTCCCTCTGGTTTGGGGGAACATTATGGCTCTGACAAAACCCTCCCCAGAGGCCTGAGATAAACTCCAAATAGGCCCCTTTACTGCTCATTTAGCAGCACTGAGAGAATGTTGAGTAAGAAATGCCCCAAACACAAGATTCCTAGAATGACTTTTCTAAAGCACCAATCTGAGAGCATCACTGCCCTATTCCTGGGTTAAAACCTTTCTTTAGCTTCTTGTCCCAGAAACAAATTCTGAATTCTTCAGCTGAGCCTCAGCATCTTTTCATGATGTGTCTCCTCCTCCAACCTCTTCTCTCACATCATCTCTCTCTTCAGTCACCGCCAAGCTTCCAATAATTCACCACCATTTCTCTTTTTCACCCCCAGGCCTTTGCATCGCGACCTCTCTGTACCACGACTTTGCCTTTAGGACTCATCTCCCGCAGCGTGCTTCCAGACAGACTCTCCCTCCCCTCCCTCATCCGCACCCTGCATCTGAGTTACGTGATCCCAAAGCACCTGGGTAGTCACTATTACAGATGTAACCAATGGCAGCGGCATCGCCTGTGAACTTGACCTTCAAGCTACCTGAGGATAGGGCCTCATCCTTTGACACCTCTTCTTGCCCAACTCCCAGCACTGTCTGCAGCCCCCTCCAGCTGACAAATATTTTCAGAGAGGATGAATGAATAAACAACAGCAGGCAAAAAAGAAATCCCTGGGGGCTTCCCCGGTGGCGCAGTGGTTGAGAGTCCACCTGCCGATGCAGGAGACGTGGGTTCGTGCCCCGATCCGGGAGGATCCCACATGCCGCGGAGCGGCTGGGCCCGTGAACCATGGCCGCTGAGCCTGCGCGTCCGGAGCCTGTGCTCCGCAACGGGAGAGGCCACAACAGTGAGAGGCCTGCATACGGCAAAAAAAAAAAAAAAAAAAAAAAAAGATGCTCTCCAAATCATAAGGGCCAAAATGAGCCTCCTGGTTCTTGGCACATAGGGAAAAAAAGCACACACACTCACTCCCCTTCTCATTCATTTATTCATGTCTTCGGCTTTTGTGCACCTACTCTGTGCCCGGCAGAGGGCTAGGCACTTGGATGTCAAGGGGAACAAGCTAGGTGTGGCCCTGAATCACAGAGTATTTGACAAGGTCTGTTTGGGGAACGGGATCTTCCTGTTTGAAAGGAAACCTAGTAATAGATTCACAGAGAACAGGCCACATGAGAACTTCTAAGGACTGGCTGGGATTCAAGAATCTTAGGGAAGAAAGAAAGACAGTCTTCAAATAAATGTGATAAAGAGTCTTTTCAAGTATCATATGATAGCACTTACATGTGGAAGCTAAAAAAATGATACAAATGAACTTATTTACACAACAGAAACAGACTCACAGACATAGGAAACAAACTTACGGTTACTAAAGGGGAAGGGGTGGCGAAGGGATAAATTAGGAGTTTGGGATTAACATACACACACTACTATATATAAAATAGATAATCAACAAGGACCTCCTGTATAGCACGGGGAACTCTACTCAATATTCTATAATAACCTACATGGGAAAAGAATCTGAAAAAGAATGGATATATGTACATGTAAAACGAAATCATTCTGCTGTACACCTGACTGATTTAGGTTGTACACAACATTCTAAATCAACTATACTCTAATATAAAGTTTAAAAAGTCTTTTTACACCTGGCGGTGAGTAAGCATTTTCCCTGAGAGGAAGCAGAGACAGGAAAGGCAGAAGTTGGTTCCGTACGCAGCTGCGGGGATCCTAGTAGGATCCTGGCCTCCTTGGAGGGTAGTTAAAGCTGTGATGTGTTAAATCTCACTGTCAGAGGCCACGGCCGCCCTGTCTGCACCTTCAGGAAGGGCCAGCAGCTCCTTGAGATCAAAGAAGATGGGAAGTATAGCTCTGGGACAGGTGCCAGCACCCGGGCCCACAGCAATGCTGCTGCTGCAGGCCTGGGCTCAGACCAAACCAGCGTCAAACCCTGATTCCAAGACTAAGCCCTGCGACTAAAGACTCTCCGTTCCCATTATCCAGAGAACGGGGTGATGACTGCCACCTCCCAGGATGACTGTGAGGGTAAATGAGATGATGCATTGGGACGTGTTGGCATAAAGTCTGTACGTAAAGGGCTGCCCAAGTTAGGATGACGATACTGTCATTCTTAAGTTGGGTGTCATGTGAAGAGTGACTGAGATAGTGATTCAAATGCTCAGCTCTTGTGGTAAAGTCTAATGCTGTAGAATATATTATGTTATATAATAATACACAAGAATATAATACAATACTGTATAATATAGTAACATCACTAGTGCGTCTTTACTGAGCAGTATGTGTTAGCCCTGTTCTGAGCACTTCACATGTACTAGGCTCATTTAATCCTCCCGTCAGCCCCATGAGGTTCTATTTTTATCCTCAGTTTGCAGGGGAGGAAACTAACACATCCCAGTCATACAACCAGACAGTTGGCGGAGGGGCTGGAACCCAGGCGGCTGGCTGCACTGCACTCCCTTCTTGCCACTCACAAAAATTCAGAACATCAAACCTGGCACCCTGAAGCCTCTGCCTCTGGCTCGGCCCGTCCAGCGGCTGCACTCAGGGTCGTCAGCTGCTCACCACGGTCCGTGGCCTCAAATCTTTCCTTTGAAACCTGCCTTGGCCTGCGGTCTGCACCTACTTCCACTTTCAACATGCCATTTCTACTTTCAGCCTTCAGAGTCCTCACCCCCTATTGTGTCAAGATCGCATGACTGCCCCAAGACACTCTGCTTTGTCTTTTAAGAGAAGCCCCTTATTTCTGACATCTGGTCAAGGAGTTCATATTCCCCTACCCACGGGGGTGCTCAGTCTGCCTATTTCTGGCTCTGTGTTGCTTTTGAAGCCTACGGAATGAAAATGTTTGAAAACGACAGCAATGACACTTTTGGCCTTTACTTCTACGAGCACGAGACATAGTTTCCCAACTCTGTTCGGGCTGGTGGGACCCTTGGAACCCTCCTCTGCTTTGGAAGTGAACTTCTGCTTTTATCTGTTTTATATACTTGGATTTCACGTGAAGTTTCATTTGAAAACGGGTCCTATTTTTAAAAACGTTTGAAAATCACTGAAGAGTCCGAACATATTTGCAATTACCAAAGAGATATTGAGCCATCTCTCTGTTCCCTCCCGACCCAAATCCTTGTAAGGCCCCTAGAACCCGGGCAGGGCACAGGTCTGATGGTGAAGGACGTTTTCATCTTAACCATCCAGTCTCTCCCTTAAGTTTCCATTTGACCTTCCACCACCATAAAGAACATTTTTACCCTAAGGACAGACTGACTCCTTGGAGTGACCCTGACAGTGCATAATTTAGAATTTCAAGAAGCCATTCTCTAGCCTGTAGAGTCCTCCAAATCAGGAAAATAAGCACAGAAACATGGTAAACTCTTAACTGTTCATGAGAGTCCTCTGGGGTAGCAGGAGGTAGGACACAGCAAGGACAGATGGACTTCTGAAGAGCCTTACCTGTTTCTCGATGAAAGCGTTGATTCTCTGTAGCATCCCCTCGCACGTGAATTCGTACGGCATGTACGGCTCAATCTGCAGAAACAGAACACGGTATCATGGAAGAGGAAGACACAGGACATGCAACACTTACCCACTCCTCCATTGATTCACTCACACTCAGGTGCCAACACCTGCAGGGATCCTTGTGAGGGGCTAAGACTATGAACTTGGAAGTCAGCAGACCTGGCTTCACAACCTCATTCTGCTCCTTATCAGCTGTGGGACCCTGAGCAAATTATCTACCACCGCTGAGCCTCAGATCCTTCATGTGTAAAATGGTGATAAGAAAAACCCATTTCTTGGAACGTGTGGTAAAGATGACGGGGGGGAAAAAAAGCGCTTAGTTCAGTGTCTAACACAGAGTAGGCACTCAACAAAAGGTGGAGAGTGTCACTTGTTAGAAGGTAAGCTCCATGGGGCAGGGTCCATGGCTGCTGGGTCATCTGCATCCCGGTGCTGAGTGGGGCGGCACACGTTGGAACCAGCAAACATCTGGTGAATGAATGCATGCTCCCTGCCCTGAGAAAGGCGCATGATGAGTGGTTTCAGGACCGTGACAGTGACAAAAGCTTTGTTTTGCATTAGTAGGTGAGCACGTTCCCAAAGAACTCATGGTGCAAAAACAGAGTGATGAAGTGTCCCAGAGAGTTCAGCTAGAGGGTCCCAGGAAGCTAGAAGGTCAAAGCCAACTTCTGCTCATGCTGGACTTTTAAGGTCAGCTATGACTCCAGCAAGCCAAGACTGAGGAGGGCAAAGATGCAGAAGACGTTCCAGGGGGGAGCATTAGTGGGAGATTAGACATGAAAGAAGGACAGCAGGAGGACAGAACTAGGATCATGGAAACTGGTGAGACAGGCTAGTAAGAGGTTCACTGGATTTCCACAAAAGACTTGTGGTTTCTACTCTAAGGAGCCTAGCCTTTACTTGAGGGTAGCAAGCAACGTAGAAGGTGCTTCACTGGGGTAGGGGAGGCAATCTGATCAATACTGTGACACCTGACGGAAGGGGAAGAAATGCAGGTTGGAGCTCTGCAGTGCCTGTGCCGACACTATGACGCCTGCGTCTTCAGGAGCAGCCGGCTGGCATTATTAATCTGAAATGGAAATTTCACTTGGGAGAATATGGCCAGCAATCCAGTTTGTTACAGCTTCAGAAAGCCCAGTAGCACTTATCAGCACATTCACCACCTCCCTCTTAAGTCTACACTCGCCTATCTCAAATCTACAGGGTGGAGACCTGGACAAAACATCTGTGAGTTGAGGCCTGCTGAAAATGGGACAATTGACAGAGAAGACACCCTTCTGGGGGCAGCCAAGTAGCTGTCCTCAAGGCAGCTTCTCCCGTTTTCCGTGTATGTTGATTCACACATTACATTTGAAATCTTCTTCAACCATGATTAGTAATTTCATAACATGTCTTTGAATGCACAATTAGATGACACGTCACACAGGCTGTAACTCAGCCATCCCTGCCCACATCCATCCAGAGAGAGCCGAAAGAGGCTGAGCCATAAGTACTGTAATATCAGGGTAGGACTATTCTGCATGAGCTGAGGTCCTTTTGTTCCTAGATCATTTATCTCAGAAGAGCTCCAAATGCTTTAACTGACTTACATCTTTCAAGCTTGCATCTTCTCATCGCAAGCTTTTGCACTTGCTGTGCCTTCTCTAACCCAACCACAGTCCTTTCCACCAAATGTAGACTTTTTCTTTTAAAGAATATTTATTTAATCACCTTGTGAGTGATTCCAGAAGCTTTCTCTAACTGTCTAGAGATATGCCTCTTCCCATGTTTGTGGGAAAAGATATTAACGAATAAGAACAACAACAAAAAATGTACAATAGACGACTTCCATATTGGGCTCATTTGGGGATAAGTAGGATTTCTAGAGTGAGGTAAATAAATAAACATCGGTGGGCCATCTGTCATGCGACCGACAGATCCAGTTATATGGTGGGAAGCATACTGAACACTCAAGGGTCATTCCTACAACATATTCTAAAGGGTATCCATTAGAAATGAAAGTGCATTCATTCAAAGGACTTATGCAATAAACACAGAAAACTGGCTCTTCCTGTGTCCTACCAACCAAACCCAGTTTAACCAAAGGGGATGTGACTCATTAACTGCTTTGTGGCCAGTTCACTGTTTTAAAAGATAAGAAGCTAATTTTCCTATAAAGGAAAAGCAAAAAAAAAAAAAAAAAGAACGAACTTGTATTCTTAAGCCACCTCTGCCATGAGTTCCACTAGCCCTGCTGTGTACAGAAGCAGGGCCCTCTGTGTGGGAAAGCTCCCCAGAGCCCTGGCTTTAGGAATACTGAGCACTGGCTAGCCTCTGATGTCGGATCTGCTGCACGTGCGTGTGTGTGCGTGCGTGTGTGTGTGTGTGTGTGTGTGTGAGACAGTTTTCTGCAGAACTTCAGGAACAAGTCAAGGTCTTTTGGGGGATGAATGAAAGGGAATGTTGAAACGACCCCAGTCACTGAGAATCCCAAGTGGGGTCAGTTATGGAGAAGCAGGGGGGAATGTGCTTGGTCATCTTGCTGGTGGACAAAGGACTGTTACTCATATGGCCATAGGAAGGATGCCTGCAGGCTGCACCATGCAGTCCCTGCTGGCCTTGGAAACGTTCCCTACCCCCCATCTTTTCCTCCGTTTTCTCCTCTTCACCTCCCTTCCAGTGGGATATCCTGTCTCTAGTATTACTCAGCGTTCTAAGTCAGAGTACGACTTCTACAGGGAACTGCTCTCTGATACCAGTTAACCTCTGCATGGTCCCACCTGACAGGTGGCTTGGCATCATTCAATGACAGATGGTCTTAGAAGGTACCAGAAGTTCAGGGGTTGAGTCTTATCTCCTCTATCTACTAAGCAGAGAATTTTAAGTCAGACATTTCCTGCAATTTCTCTTGATGATTTCAAATGTAAAATAGGTCATGTCATTCCCCTGCTCAAAACTACCCATCATACTCAGAATAAAATCCAGAATCCCTCTTGTGGTCTACTTAGAGGCCCTACACACTCTGGCTCCTGCAGACCCTTTTATGGTCTCCATTATTTCTGATGGGCAGTTGGTGGTCTTTCATACTGTTATTCCCCTGAATGTAATAAAATTTTCTCTGGCTGCTTTCAAGATTATTTTCCTCATCTTTCGTTTTTGGCAGTTCAGCTATGATGTATCTAAGTGTGTTTTTCTCCATATTTATCCTGCTTGGCCTTCACTGAGCTCCCACAACCTGCAGGTTAATGTTATTCATTAATTTTAGAAAATTCTTAGCCATTATCTTTTCACAAATATTTCTTCCAGCCATTCTCTCCTCTGAGGTTCTAATTACACATAAATTAGGCTGCTTGAATATTGTTCCAGAGATCTCATATGCTCTTTTTTATCTTGTTCTTTTTCCTCTAATTTCAGTAATTTCTATTGATAAGCCTTTAAAGTTCACTGATTATTTTCGTCTGCTGTGTATAATCTGCTGATCAGCCCACTGAAAGAGTTAATTTCTGATACTGTACTTCTCAGTTCTAGCATTTTTTCATTTGGCTTTTAAAAAAGTTCCCATCTCTCTGCTGAAATCCCCCATCTATTCACATATGTTGTCTACCTTTTTCATCAAAGCTTTTTTTAAAAATAATTAATTAATTAATTTGGCTGCATGGGGTCTTAGTTGTGGCAGACAGGTTCCTAAGTTGCAGCTCGTGGGCTCCTTAGTTGCAGCACATGGGCTCCTTAGTTGTGGCATGCACGTGGGATCTAGTTCCCTGACCAGGGATCGAACCCAGGTCCCCTGTATTGGGAGCACAGAGTCTTAGCCACTGGACCACCAGGGAAGTCCCCAACAAACCTTTTAATACATTTATCTCAGCATTTAAAATTTGCTGTATGGTAATCCCAACATCTGAGCCATCTCTGAGTCCGGTTTTATTGATGGAGTCCTCTCTTAATGATGGGTCATGTTTTCTTGCTTTTTTGAGTGTCATGTAATTTAAAATCTTGTAATTAAATATGAGAAAGCTTGGCACCAAATTTCTGACCCATTTATAACAAGCATAAGGATTATAATGTTAATAGTCTTTGTATTAATCTCATTCCTTACTTTCTCTCTCACTCTCGTCTTCCCTTTACTTCATTTAATGATGTTTTTCTTTTTAAATTTTTTCTTAATAAACTAGTCAAAAATACTAGTTTCAATCCAGGTTCTACTACTTACTAGTTGTGCGATTTTATGTAAATTACTTAATTTTCTTTAAACCTTAATTTTCTTATCTGCAGAAGGATTAAATGAGACAAGGCTCATAAAGATGTACAGAGAGAGGGCTCCCCTGGTGGCGCAGTGGTTGAGAGTCCGCCTGCCGATGCAGCGGACACACGTTCGTGCCCCAGTCCGGGAAGATCCCACATGCCGCAGAGCGGCTGGGCCCGTGAGCCATGGCCACTGAGCCTGCGCATCCGGAGCCTGTGCTCTGCAACGGGAGAGGCCACAACAGTGAGAGGCCCACGTACCGTCTGGAGGTATAAAAAGAGCTTCTCCCTACATATGACCTACTATTATAATTACTTTTTATGCCCCCTTAAGTGGCCTTAAATGGTTTTAGGGAAAGGGTTGGTCAGGGTTTTAAAAAGAGGAGCAGTAGATGTTCCATGAAGTGAACCGAGCCTCATGTAGAAGTGGATAGAACTCAGCACCCACTTAGCGCTTTACATGTCAGGCATTCCCACGAGATTTTTGTTTGACAAAAGGGATCTATTATCTAAAAAGTTTTGGACTCTGTGATCCAAGATTTTCTGCCTCTACATTAGCTTTCAAATTACTCCTCTTCAAAAGAATGCACACTTAACTAAGTGTTGTGGGTTGAACTCTGTCCCCCACCCCCAAAAGATATGTTGAAGTCCTAACACCCAGTACCTGTGAATGGGATCCTATTTGGAAATAAGGTCTTTGCAGATGGAATCAAGATAAGAAGAGGTCATAGTGATTTAGGGTGGGCCCTAATGCAACATGACTGATGTCTCTATGAGAAGTGGAGAAAACAGATAGACACACACACACACACGGAGAACACCATATGACAGCAGAGACAGAGATGAAAGTGCTGCAGCTGCAAAACAAGGAATACCTGGGGCCACCAGAAGGTGGAAGAGCCGAGGAAGGATCCTCCATGAGAGGCGTCAGAGGGAGCATGGCCCTGCCGACATCTTAATTTCAGATGCTGACATCTGAATTTTAATTGCAGCCTCCAGAACTGTTAAGAGAATAAATTTCTGTTGTTTCAACCACCACTTTGTGGTTCTCTGTTATGGCAGCTTTAGAAGCTAATACCCTAGAGGACTCTGAGACTGAAGAAAGAAGAGCCTTCGAGCTCTGCAAGAAGGATCCTCTGGTGGGAAGCTGCAGACATGCAGCAGGTGCTTGAGGTGGCCAGCAGCACCACACCCACTCAGCACTTCATCTCTTGCCTTGGCCACCAGAGGTCTGGGGGGCTTCTGCCCTAAACTTGAGACTGGGATGAGATCGTACACGTCGCTGATGGGAAGCTCTGAGCAGCTACCTCAAAGCTCAATAACTAGACCTGCTCTAAAGGGACATGGGTGACACGCTGGAGTACTCCTGTTCCCCAGGAGATGTGGTCCGTAGCTGAAACTGGCAGTTGGGAGGGCCTCACTTTATTCCCCAAAGGGGAAAGGCAGCCCTTTACATGGGCCAACTGGCAACTCCTCCTCGGATACATGCCTTTCTAGCCTCTCCCCCTTGACTCTCACTGTTCCTCTAACTCATGTCTTTCTGGGCTCACTTCTCCGTTTAACTTTGCAGATTCCTACTCATGCTCTGAGACTTAACTCAATGCTGCATTCTCCAGATGTCCTTATAAGGAGCAGAGATGACAGAAATAGAAGAGAAACTTAACAGTTACCAGGGGGGAAAGGAGCGGGGAGGGATAAATTAAGACTTTGGGATGAGCAGATACAAACTACCGTGTATAAAGCAGATAAACAACAAGGACCTACTGTACAGCACAGGGAACTATATTCAATATCCTGTAATTAAACCATAATGGAAAAGAATATGAAAAAGTATATACATATTCATATATATACACACATATATATACATATCGGAATCATTTTTGTTGTACACCAGAAACTAACACAACATTGTAAATCAACTATACTTCAATAAAAAAAAAAGAAGCAGAGAAGACAGACACTCCTCCATCTCTGGCATGTTGGTCTTGGCACTGAACATACTCTGCCTTTGTGTGCTGATCTGCATACATCTATTCCTCGCTCCCTCCATGCCTCCCACCATCTATTAGGTACATCGCTATGCTGGGTCCTGAGAACACAGCAGTGAGACAGGTATAGTTCCTGCCCATGCTGCTTACGGTCTAATGGAGATCCAGACTATCACTAACAAAAGTAAGAACGTTATAGTATTACATTAGCCAAGACATGGAAACAACAGTCCATCGACAGATGAATGGACAAAGAAAATGTGGTGTGTATGTGTGTGTACACACACACACACAATGGAATATTACTCAGCCATAAAAAATGAAATAATACCATTTGCAGCTACACGGATGGACCTAGAGATTATCATACTAAGTGAAGCAAGTCAAAGACATATATGATATCACTTATTTGTGGAATCTAAAATACGACACAAATGAGCTTATCTATGAAACAGAGACAGACTCACAGATGTAGAGGACAGATATGTGGTTGCCAAGGGGGTGAGGGGACAGGAGAGGGTTGGATTGGGAGTTTGGGATTAGCAGATGCAAGCTATTATCTATAGGATGGATAAACAACAAGGTCCTACTATATAGTACAGGGAACTATATTCAATATCCTGTAATAAACCATAATAGAAAAAGAATATGTAAAAGAATGTATATACATGTATAACGGAATCACTTTGCTGTACACTGGAAACTAACACAACACTGTAAATCAACTATACATCAGTAAAAAAGAATGTTACATTATTATATATGCAATACTGACTTAATACTCCTGACTAGACATTTATTATGAGATCGACACTGCACTTCAGCACTTTATATTCATTATCTCATTGGATCCTCTCAAGTACCTGTAAAGTAGGTGAAATTAGCCTACATCAGGGATGAGGAAACTGAGCCTCAGAGGTTAAGTAATTGCCCGAGGGGACACTGCTGGACCCCAACCCAAGCTGTCTGATTCTAGCCTGTCCTTATAACCACACCTATACTGCTTCTCTTAAAAAATTATAACAGAGTAATCGCTGCTCTGATAGGAGGAGGACAGAGGGCAGGGTTTACTGGTAGAATCCAAGGCAGTCCCGGGGTTGGGAGAGAGGATAACTTGACCCATCCCCTACAGGGTGGTAAGTTTCCTACAGGCAGGGAGCCAGCCTCGTTTATGCTTATAGAAGTGAGCGTCCCTGACAGTGGTTCAGAGGGCGCTCTGCATACAGTAGGTACTTAATACATGTCTGCTGAATTGTTCTGGAGAGTCCAGAGATGTTAGTTACTTATACAAAATTTTATAAGATGTTTAGGTAGAAAAGCCAAATAAACAGATGCTATAAAAAACATTTTCCAGTATTTCCTTAATTAGTCCTTTTCCTTCTCACTTTTTTTTTTTTTTTTTTTTTTGCAGGGGAGTGGGTCTATCTTTTCTGATCTTTGGGAGAGCTACATAATGAGGTCACTGACACAAGTAGAATTCAAGTTTCTACTGCTGTGTCTGGGACCCAGGAGCCATGTCAAAAGGGTCTGTAGGAGCCATGTCAAAAGGGTCTGTAGAATCCATGCACGCATCTGGACACCAGCTCTAATTCCATTTCACAGAACATCCACAAAAATCCCCAGGCCAGTCCTACAGCTGGGCCATTTTCTAAATTTCAGAGTCAAGCTGACATGGAACCATTCTAATTACTTGAACGAAGGGCCTGTGATGCTTTCCACATGATCCCGTTCACATCACAAATGGGGGAAAATGGAATAAAAGAAATAACCTTCTGACTTAAAATTGCTTTCACGGCGTCCTCCACCCCCTCCTGATTATCGAGGTCAACAGTCCAGACGTGTGGCTGGCCGATGAAAACTTCGGCATAAGGATGCTGGGAGGTCAGCTGGAAAAGAGAAAACAGAACACCTCAGTCTCACGAACACTGGCTTTTTTCATTTCTCAACCTTCTGTGCTAGGTGAAGCGTTAATGCTTTTTACGGTTCCGAGTTGTACTTGTGTAGGTAATGTCATTTTTTGTTTTGGACCCTTGACGATCGAAACCTCCTAAGCACCCCGTAAGCAGGTAACAATAAAAGAGGGAGGATTCCACAGCTTGCTTGCTTTCTTTTTTGCTTTGACCAGCAGGACATCTACTGTCAGGACCATCTGGAGAAGCAGGCACAGCCCTGACAGGTACAGGTAAGGACACCGAGGCTGTCAAGTGTGCCCGGCTGGCAACACTGGCAGTGCCCATGGGTGCCCATCAGGCTCATGTGGGATGTTTTAAAAGACACACGGCCAGGCTACGCTGTCTTAGACCCTTGGAGCTGGGATCTTGGGCACTTTGGAGGGGTTTCTGGGAGTCTAGGGGTCCCAGGAGGGCATGGCCCTGTGTTGAGACCACGGCATCCACAGGGCAGGTCCAGTGATGGCTCCCCACCTTGAGTACTGCTTTGAAAAAAGAGTTAGAATGTCATAACCAGCTGACATGGAGGCTGTTACAGATGGCTTCAACCCCCCAAATCACACCAAGAAATAATGAATATTTACCCTCAGTCATATCCCAGCCCTGAAAATCACCTAGATCAAACTGGCATCTGTTATAAAATACTGGTTAGGATAGACAGGTAAGTATAAGGAAATTACAATAAAGTTCTCATAGGCTTTAAAGTCATAGAAGGACACGTAACGGCACATATGAAAGGCGACAGAAAGGGAAATAATGCTACCAGAAAAAGAGAGAATTTTGGAATAATAATTAGCATAACACTGGAGCCTTAAGAGTCATAAAGGCAACGTGTGATCAGAAAAGCAAGGAAAAGTAGCTTTTGTTTTAAAGGAGGTTTTATTTTAAAAACAAAGGGTGGCCAAAGAAACCCACAGGAATATTGGCAATTCTCAGTTCTTGAAGAATCCGTTTTTTAAAGACAGCTAAATTTACCCCTCAAACTTGTTCCCACCTTTATTCTTGTATCCTTTTAAGGCTGTGGTATAAAGAAAGCATTCTGGTGCACTTTCAGTTCTCAAAGTTGGTGGGTGCTGCCCCAACCCGTGGCTGAGGACCAGGGATGCCAGACGCCTTGAGATGTGTGTGACCGTCCTGCACAGGGCAGAACTGTCCACTCCCCACAGGCCTTCACATGCCCCGCCAAGCTCTCAGGTGGGTTCACAGAACCTGCCTCTTTGGCACAGTCTGAATATACATTTTTTCCAGGAACATAACTGCCATGTAAATCAAGGGACATTTTATTGGGAATTTCACCAATAAGCTGTTATCACTTCAGAAAAATCATGGCAGCAAAGTCAATGCCACGCAGAGGATCTGGGTCTCCAGTACAACATACCCAAACCAGTCTGTATTTGAAGCTGTCACAGTAATGCCAATGGAGTATATCTGTGTGTCTACACGTAGGCACCTTTTTATTTAGCTTCTCTTTCTTTACTGTCAATTATAAGTAAAAAGGGCTGACCAGATTCAGCTCAATGTTTTCTTCTTCTTCTTCCTTTTTTTTTTTTGCTGTACGTGGGCCTCTCACTGCTGTGGCCTCTCCCATTGCGGAGCACAGGCTCCGGACGCGCAGGCTCAGCGGCCATGGCTCACGGGCCCAGCCGCTCCACGGCATGTGGGATCTTCCCGGACCGGGGCACAAACCCATGTCCCCTGCATCGGCAGGCGGACCCTCAACCACTGTGCCACCAGGGAAGCCCTGTTCTTCTTAAATACAAACATATTCACTGTAAGGAAGAATGAGACACCATGATGCCTTCTAGTGTGGTTCATGGGTATGATACAGTATTTCTGGACCACATATACACAAAATAACTATTACCTTATAGCAAAGTATTTTCCTTTTACTTCTCTTTCATATTATAATTAGAGAATCATTCTTTGTGTGTGTGTGATAATCGCATTTCTCTTTGATTTTATTTAGATTAAACTTGCAATTGAATAGATTTTTTAAACATCTTTATTGGAGTATAATTGCTTTACAATGGTGTGTTAGTTTCTGCTGTATAACAGAGTGAATCAGTTATACATATACATATATCCCCATATCTCTTCCCTCTTGCGTCTCCCTCCCTCCCACCCTCCCACCCTCCCTATCCCACCCCTCTAGGTGGTCACAGAGCACGGAGCTGACCTCCCTGTGCTATGCGGCTGCTTCCCGCTAGCTATCTATTCTACATTTGGTAGTGTATATATGTCCATGCCTCTCTCTCGCTTTGTCACAGCTCACCCTTCCCCCTCCCCAGGTCCTCAAGTCCGTTCTCTAGTAGGTCTGTGTCTTTATTCCCGTCTTACCCCTAGGTTCTTCATGACCTTTTTTTTTTTTCTTAGATTCCATACCTATGTGTCAGCATACGGTATTTGTCTTTCTCTTTCTGACTTACTTCACTCTGTATGATGTTAGCAGGGTATATTTTTCATTTCAGGAGTGAAAAGAAGATGTTATAATACACTTAGAATAAAAGAGGGTGTTGGGTGTGGAAGGGTTGAGGCCAAGCTGGTTCCCTTTTCTTCCTTCAGATCCCAATATACTCAGAGGACTGGGTGATTCAACTGGCACCTCTGCAGCTTGCTCTTGGCCACCGTTCTTCATGTCTTACCACACCAATGGTGTGCATGCATTACTCAGGGGGGAAACCCAGAAGATAAATTACTGGGCCTCCACTCTGAGCCTTCTCTGGCCCCCGCTCGTGGAAATCAGGCGATTCTGAGGTGCAGGTATCCTAGACTTTGCTCCTGCCTCTTCTGCCAGAGTCACGCCCCTCGCTAGCCTGCAGCTCCCCATGCTTCTGACATACACCCTTTTCCTTTTGCTCAGCTGCGTGGTCAGGGATAGAAAAAGAGTGCCCGCAGGCTCCTGGAGCTGGGGGAGCACGCTTTTCTTTTCCTCAGCACATATTTTAGATTGAGCACGCATCAGTGAGGCCCCTCAGCTGGGGCTGGCACGGGGCTAATCACCTGAGCAGACATTATTTATCAGGTTTCCTGTGCATTGATGAGGATTCTGAGGGTTAGAGGGGCTTACAACTCCCCAAGACCACATAGCGAGAAAGCAGCAGAGCAAATTCAAATCTAGATCCTTCAACAACTTTTTACCTTTTTGACAAAAACGGAAGATGACAATTTTAAAGGATGCTCTTGAGCTCTTAAGACAATGACCAAAAGGAGCTCAATGGAAACACCAGCCTTTTCATCAGTTGCTTAAAACCAGCTAACCTAAAACAAAATCCCAGGACTGAATGTATGTCTGCATTAGACCTTTCCTGAAGCTGAGTAAAGTGTCATACCATTTTCATTTTGTGGCCTGGAGAACAAACTAATTAATTCTTCCAACTGAATCAGGGTAAATGAAAGTTGCCATCAGTGTCACTATTTAGCAGTCTCTCTCCCCTCTGCCTTTTAAGGTCCCTGCTCATTTACAAGGTTGCTCTAAGCACTTGGAAAATACAAGATGCTGAGCCATTATCATTTTGTTCATTTACATTTATGGAGGGTTACTTAATTTTATGAGTAAGGCGTTTTGTGATTCATTATTCCCCCTCTGAATGTTCCATTCGTCCTTGTTAATTTCTTGAGAACCGTGTGATCTGAGCTATCGTATATCAATCAGTATATTTACTGGAGTATAGTCTGTAAAAGTAATGAAAATCTTATTAAATATAAGACGTTGTTTCAGAGCGGCTGTTAACTCTCCTAGAAGAACACAAGTTCTCTTTACGGAAAAGGAAACCCTGGAGTCACAGAATTTCTAAAGGTTTACAAAATGTCAGAATAATGATTAAGAACCGGGCTTCCCTGGTGGCGCAGTGGTTGAGAGTCCGCCTGCCGATGCAGGGGACGCGGGTTCGTGCCCCGGTCCGGGAAGATCCCACATGCCGCGGAGCGGCTGGGCCCGTGAGCCATGGCCGCTGAGCCTGCGCGTCCGGAGCCTGTGCTCCGCCACGGGAGAGGCCACAGCAGTGAGAGGCCCGCGTACCGCAAAAAAAAAGAACCTACTAATATGTTTCCCAATATAAAGAGAGAAGTCCAAATTATATTACATTTAAAGTGTAACTTGAACCAACCACATTATACTTAAGGCATACGGAACTTCTCTTGAGTGTGTACACTGTGGTTTTAAAAATGGGTCCAATGCAAAAACAAAAACAAAGCTTTTTGTTTTCTAAATACAAAGAAAAATTTAGACTTCTCTTCAAATGAAGGCAAAGAAGAGACATAGATGCAATTTACATGGACCCATTTACATGGATCTATTGCTGCTTAGCTCAAAAGATTAGCAAGGGCACAAGAAGATAGCTACGTAATTATATACGCTTTGGTTAAAATTCTTCTATTTGCTGAGGAAAAAAAGAAAAAGGATACTTCCTAGGGATTCTTGACCCTTAGAAATCTGTACAAGTGTTGATAGCTCTTTCCCAATTAAAAGCATCTTTGATCAGGGGGATTCTGTGAGCCGAAAGAGCAGAGTGGGGCGGCCCACCTGCCTGTGAGGTCAGGTTCACTGGCTCCCCTCAAAGCTGTGTCATGTCACTGGCTATCAGCCTGCTCCTGCTCTCTGCACCGTCTCCAGCGGAGAAGGAAATGGACATCAGATGGACCCTGCCCTCCTGCATAAAGTAAAGTGACCTGCTTGGGGTTTCCCTCCAACGCATCAACATTCATGCTTCCCCAACTCAAAACCCGACTCTTCTTTTCCTCTAAAGGACAGCTCCCCCACTATCCCCTTCTAGCTAACCCAGCACATCCTCCGCCGGGCACCGCTCCAAGTTAACTTCCCCTGCTTAATGTACTCAGCTCTTTCCTTATGCATGCCCGTTGATTAGACATCGCTCTTATCACACTTCCATATCAAAATCTGAGCTCCTGGGAAACAGGAAATGTGTCTTGATAAGTTCCCCCAAGGCAGTGACTTAGTACCACAGGCCCTGCGGGGATACAATGAACATCTGTCAGCTGACCTCTGCATCCCAGCCCTCCCACAGGAGCCCAGGACTGATGGAGTCACTTGTGGGAGGTCACTTGCTGAGCAGCTGTTGAAAGCCTCCCCCAGTGCCATTCTAACCGGAGTCTCATTCCAGCACTGGTGGGACCAGCTGAAAGGACAGGAGGAACCAAATGCCTGGGCGGCAGCTCCAACACCTATTCCCTTTTGATGCCATGAAGAATGAAAACCCTCTATCACCTCAACAAAAAGCAAATTACTAAAGAATCACAACCGACAGCATGAACATACTTTTCTCAACAATTTCATACTGGCTGATCTGATCTATGTAACATTACATCATTCACTGGGAAAGGGTTAGATTGTGTTTAAGAGGGTCTTAAATTTTTTTCAGGAAAAAGTACTCAGTTGTAATACAGTGTTATCAAAATCTTCAGAATTATCAAAATTGAAATTATTATCTAATTCTAGTGATCAAGAAGGTACCAAGTCAGTCCAAAATACTTTTGATGAATCATTTCCCAAAGTCTTGTATATAGAAACTGCAATAAGAAAACTGATGGGTTTCTTTGCTTTTCATGCATTAGTAAGTCAGACAGAGAAAGGCAAATACCATGTGATACCACTAATATGTGGAATCTAAAAAAATGATACAAATGAACTTATTTACAAAACAGAAAAAGACTCATAGACATAGAAAACAAACTTATGATTACCGAAGGGGAAAGGGTGGGGTAGGGGGAGGGATAAATTAGGAATTTGGGAATAATGTATACCTACTACTATATATAAAATGGATAAAAAAACAAGGACCTACTGTATAGCACAGGGAACTATACTCAATATTTTGTAATAACCTATATGGGAAAAGAATCTGAAAAAGAAAAAATATATACATGAAACTGAATCACTTTGCTGTACACCTGAAAGTAATACAACATTGTATATCAACGATACTTCAATAAAAAATCATTTTTAAAAAGCCCTTAGCACACAGTAAGTGCTCCAATACATGTTAATTAAGATGGTTATTATCATGGGAAACCAGAAAAAAAAATCATGAGGGAAAAATCATCATTAGAATATCACTGTAACAACGGTTGCAAGACAGATCCACTGATACATGGTAAAAATAAATGGGCAAAAGTTGGAGGAGAACGAGGGTATTTGCATGGTCTCAAAGTACTTCCCCCAATATAGAGAAAAACAGTAACTTTAAGGTGGAGAAACCTGGCAAACACGACCTTAACCAAGTGATCAAGGTTACATCACCAAGTAATAAGACATTGGTATCACGCACCCCCTGACATGATACACTGAGGCCACATGACTTCTGTGGGATTCTTGCCAAAAATGTGTAACCTCAAACTAATCAGGAGAAAACACCAGTCAAATCCAAATGGAGGGACAGTGTACAGAACAACTGACTGGTACCCTTTCAAAATGTCAAGGTCATGAATGACAGTGAAAGACTGAAGAATTGGCACAGATTGGAGAAGACTAAAGACACATGACAGGTAAAGGCCATGTGGGAGGCTGGACCAGAAAAAGGATGTTAGTGGAAAAACTGGTGAAATCCAAATAGAGTCTGTAGTTTAGATAATATTACGGTACCAATGTTAACTTCTTGGTTTTGACAATTACACCGTGGTTTTATAATATGTTACCATTAGCAGAAGCTGCATGAAGCATATAACCAAACCTTGTAATCTTTCTGCAGCTTTTCTTTAAGACTAATATTATTTCAAAATAAATAAAAAGCAAGTTCCAGCAATTCCACTCATAGGTATATATACCACAAAGAACTGAAAGCAAGGACTCAAACAGATACTTGTACACCCATGTTTGTAGCCGCACTTTTCGTAATAGACAAGAAATGGAAACAATCCAAGTGTCGACGAACAGAGGAACGGATAAACAAAACGTGGGCTTATTCATACGATGAAATATTCTTCAGCCTTAAAAAGGAAAGGTTCTGACACATGTAACATGAACGAACCTTGAAAACATGCTTAGTGAAATAAGCTGGTCACGAACACTGTACGATGACACTTACGTTAGGCACCGAGAATAGGTAAATTTCTATAGACAGAAAGTAGAGTAGTGGTTACCTTTCTATTCAGGGCTGGAGCAGGGGAGAACGGAGAGTTACTGTTAATGTACAGAGCTTCTGTTTGGAACAATACATCTATGAGAGTGGACAGTGGCGATGATTGCACAATATTGTGAACGTACTGAATGCCAGTGGACTGTACACTCAAAAAAGGTTAAAATCATCGTTTCTCACTGTGTATAATTTATCACAAAAAAACATCGAAAATTACAAATAATTATCCAATTTAGGCGGATGTAGAACTTCAGAGATTTCCTACTTTCAAACGTAACACAGGAATGATTTATTAGCCCACATTTCCTACCCAGAGCTCCGAAGTTTCAAAGTCAGTCGCACGCTAAAGCACAGATGCCTAAGTTGAGCCATTCTCACTGCTGGGGAGCATCCTTTCAAACCTTTGCAAAGAGTAAGTTCTTGGGTACCAGACTGAAGGTTCCTGATCTGTGTTCTGGTACCTGCCCCACAGGACGGGAAGTCCAAACACTGTGTGCATTAAGTGTTGCTGAGGAATGACCGCCCGCCCCCCAAAATGAAGAACTCAAATTTACAATACCAGCAGAAGGAAAAAGCAAGCGTGAGCGCACACACACGCACACGCCTCGTTAACCTTTGTCAGAGGTTATCTGGGCCATAGGTTCATCTTTTTCAGGATCATCTGTGGTCTTGCTGATCTTCTTCCATCTCCTTTGGCCCTCTCACCAGTGATGGGGTGGGTCAACGAAAAGAACTCTCAGAACGATCAACTCTATTAACTGGTAAGTTCTCTGACTGAAAGGTAAAGAATAATCACGGAAAATGTGTTTTATATACTATTTGGGGAAGGGGGGAATGGGGTCAGGAGAACTGACCCAGAAAGGTTTAAAAGTAGCAGAGGTGGGCTTCCCTGGTGGCGCAGTGGTTCAGAGTCTGCCTGCCGATGCAGGCGACGCGGGTTCGTGCCCCGGTCCGGGAAGATCCCACATGCCGCAGAGCGGCTGGGTCCATGGGCCATGGCCGCTCAGCCTGCGCGTCCGGAGCCTGTGCTCCGCAACGGGAGAGGCCACAACAGTGAGAGGCCCGTGTACGGCAAAAAAAAAAAAAAAAAAAAAAAAAAAGTAGCAGAGGTGAAAAATGCATGCTTTAGAAACATGTCCCGGGAGGGCTGCCCAGCAGTGTCCTCCCCAGCAGACGGTCCCAAATGACAAGGGCACTGGGACAAATCGACACTTAGAGGCTTCCTCCTTGAAAGCAGCCCGGAGAGCCACTTACGAACTGTGCAGAAATAAATAAGAAATAATAAGAAATCAATCTTATGGGTTCTTGCACACACGTGTTTCTAACCAGATATAGAAACACCCAGCCTGGTCACTCACATGCTCTAAATGACTTTGGTTTATGGTCCCAAATAGAATCCAACTGCCTTCAATGGTGATTCATCACCTACTGTGGATTTTCGAGAGGACCTCCAAAGGCAATCCCAATAAGCCTTCTGCAAATGGTTCGAGCGACGGCAGGACTGCTTCCCAGGACGGCACCCTGCTGACAGTCGGCTAAAATACCAGGCATACTATTCAGTCACCCCGATACGTCTTTCTTCTCAAGGATGATGATTCTTCAAGGAAGGAGCCCACGGCCCACTTTTTATTCCCCAAAGCTCCTCACAGGGAGTAGGTTCTTTAAAAATACCTGTTAACCCCTTGATTTTCTTTTTATTCCATAAACTCTAATCGTCCACAAGATCAGAGTTCAGCTAATTGGAAGACCGGCGATATCTGTTCAAATTAGGATGGAGATAGGGTAGGGCGAAAAGACCCCGTACTTTGTAGAACGGAAATAGATCGAAATCCTGGCTCTGCCACTACTTAGTGAGGGGATGTAATCAAGTCATCCATCTCTCTGAGCCCCTGCACACCCTCCCCCTTCCACCCAACTAAGTGAAATGAAGTTGACAATACCTACCGTCCAAGGCTCTGAGGTTCAAATGGGCTCCTAGCACTCAATAAATAGCTACCATTCCTATGAGTGAAAGTAGAATGAGTTTTACAGATGCTTACCTCTCTCAGAGTTGGCTTGCCAATGAAAAAGTCTGTGTTTTTGCTGCTTTTGGGTGGGTTGAACTTGGGATTCAGAAAAGCACATCCATTTGCGATGGCCTCCAAGGGAGCCGGGCCTTCATAAGGGAACCCAAGTCCAACAAACAGCTGTAAGACAGAGAAGCACACCACATGTAAACACATCAATCAGACTGGCGTCCCTGGCTCATGGGGGTCTCTTCTGGGCTCCATTCCTGTGCTGATGCCTCTGAGACTCTGGAAAGTTCCCAGGCCCTGGTTGGGGGTGGATAAATGAGAAGCCAGTTTACACTAGGACCTGAAAAACATGACCAGGGACCTTGAAGGGCCCAGGAAGCTGCTCAGGTCATTATGAATTTCCCTCCTTTGTAAAAAAGTAAAGCAGTAAGTGTCAGGGTGGGCAGCTGAAGGGGTAGGGGGGTGGAGGTACTCACAGAATAAAAACAACAACAAAACCCAAGACCCAACAATAATCTTTCTGTAACTTACCAGGAGACATGACTGCAAAAACACTTGCTTAACTAAACAGAAGGTTTCTTCATTGAACCAAAGGAACAACAGGCCCTTTCAGTGATGCTGGGCAGAGGGACAGAAAGGTCGCTCGGCGGTTTGATTACAGTTCACATGGAGCTGCATTAAAATGATGGTAGGTCAGCAAACATGGGTTTTCATAATGGGGTTTTCGCTGGGGGACACCAGCATCTTGGGTTTTATTTTCCCCTCAATGTGGGGAGAGGGTGTAGAGCTGTAACTGGGCAAGCCTTTCCCACCCCAGCAAGTAAACCACGAGTTGTCCCCACGGCAGACAAGAGATGGCAGCAAAAACACATCTCAGAGTCCTCACAGGGACCACGGCTGAGAGCCGCTGTGACAAAGGGGACTCCCTGCAGTCAGTGGCACTGACTCCTGGGTCCAGAAATGAAACATGATCTCATAGAAAGGCATCCTTGCGTACCCTCCCCTCGGGGTATTTCACACCACTGGACGCTGTGGGTCCTGATGGGCTTGGTCCAAGTCTAGGCTTGGTGACGTGTGAGATCTCCCTACCCACATGAAGGAGCAAATGCTGAAATCTCTCCCGTCTCCCAGGCCCATCAAGTGGCAAAGGATAACTGGGTCCCAGGGTGTCCTTTTCTTCTGCCATCATGTTGGGGAACATCCCCACGGCCATGCCCCGAGAGTGAAGGATGCTGCTGAACTGGATACGGCTAGATGCTCGAGTCTCCTTTCCCGGGCCCTCTCCCCAGTAATCCTGTCTCTGCAGCTGCTTTAATTGAATGATGATTTGGAATATTTCTGCCTAGACAGCCCTGAGTCTAACCCAGGCAGCACTGGAAGATGCAACCCGTATGTGCTGGGCACTCAATTCCAGGGCTGGACATGCAGTGTGGCCCATGTTAGGCATATTGAAGAGTCATGAAGCCCCCGCAGGGAATTTTCTGGGGCAAGAAACTAAAATCTCAGGTTTTCTGGAGAGATGCCCTATCCTATAACTGTATGTTCTTCTGCACAGAACAGGGTACTTAACCTTTTTATTGTTTGGGAAGAATAACCTTTCATATCCTGTAAACCTTGAGATGACCCTCAGGGGCGTCCACAGAGGAGGGAACTGTGGAAGAAAAGCTTTGAGAAGCCAGCCGAGCTCTCACTGCTGGCTGGGTCATTTCTCCTGGAGCAGAAGAACAGGAGACACAGGGGTGAGGGAAAATGTGGTAGCAGAAGAGCTTGGAAGCCGTCTTCCACGAGGGCATGAAGAAATAGTCCCAAGACATCCCAGCTTTGTTAAATACGAAGAACCCAGGGTTACTATCCTTGAGGCTTTTGATCTCTGTGATCTGCCACCCCCAGCAGATTTGGGGGAGGAGGTGTTGGCTCTCCAGGGAAAAGAGGACCTCTGTCAGGCCGTGGCTGGGCTCAGGAAAGCACAGGACTTCCAGATCCTGGAAGATGCAGACAGGGGTCTCCGTGGGTTTAACCAGGGGCCCACAGTGTTTTCTGACCTCTGAAAACCAGGGCCTGCCATGAAGTGTTGATACCTTCATCAACACTAAATTACAAAGAATAACTTTGGAGGAAATGTAGGAAGCACAATGGTTGTCTATTTAAATAGAAAATCCTGGGAAAAAAAATTTAATTAGCTCCTTCAGGCCCACCAATCTGAACCCATTAATTAAAAGGATTTGAGGCTGTTGCTTAATGGACTTGAATGTGACCTAGGTTTAATTATATGTGAATAACGACTTGCACCCCCTCTTCTGCCCTGCTGGCATCCGAATATCTCAGTACACATAAACACTTCAGGCTAACTCTCCGAAGCCTCGCCATTTCAGAAAGAAGATAAAGCAAATATCACACAATTTCTTGGCAATGAGTCTTCTCGTCACACTCATTAGGATCGCAGGAAGCGCATTACTTGGAAACACCAAAGTAACAGTCCTTTGTCACTTCTGTCAATAAGCAACCTTCCTTCTTGCTTCCCGTGTACTCACTACCTGTGACATTATAATGGAGCAGATGTATTAAGGTCAAATAGCACACTTGAGGTTTGAATGACAACAGGATAGGCAGAGAGTTCATCGCCACCAAAGGGTATTCCATGAACTTTTGAGTGCTGACGGCCTTGCCACACACTGGTACCTTAACCACACTAAATTGCTTTTCCCCTAATTCCCCACTCCCCCCATCATTCTGCTCGCTTACAGATTTCCTTAGCATGGGGGCAAGAGAGACACTGCAAGAATTCATTCAAGTGCAGAGGCTTAACTCCTCAGGAGGACACAGCATATTTTATTGATACTTCGTCTGGCTTTCAGAAGCCTAGAATGTAATGAGGATCTTCCAGACGACGGGACATCTCCATGGCTGCAGCTCTGACTCCATCAACGAGCATTTCTAAATAGAGCTTTAAATTACATGCTCTAAAATTTAACTTTTGAACTAACACTAAGGAAGAGAGAACAGATGAAGCTCCAGGATTGGGAAGTCCCTACATGTCGACAAAGAGTTTATTAGCTAAACCACTCAGATTTTCACTCTGGGTGAAAGGAGAAGCAAAATTGTTTTAAACCCCTAAGCGGAGTAGTTCACAAAGAATCCTTTAAAGGCGGATAAAGGTAGTTCTGAGATCAGGACAATGTGGTGATTAAGAGCATAAGCTCTGGAGTCAGGCTGACCAGGTTTCCAACCCTGACTGCATCATTTCCTAGCTCTGTAACTGTGGGAAATTGTTATATGCTTCTCTCTATGGAGTATCTGAGGTCCACTGATAATGCATTCTGTCTAGCTATGGGCCTTAGTCAAGGCAACACAAGCTCTCTAAACCTGTCGTTTCATGTGTAAAGTGGTGAAAGTAATCGTGCTTTATTTCACGGGGCTGCTCTGAGGATTCAAGGAGATATTTCATGGAAAGGATGTATTCCAGGGTTTGGCACTTAGTAAATGTTCGCTAAACGCTAGTCCAAGTTCAAACCCAGGTTCAACTTTACGTGCAGCACATACACGACCTTTTGTTGTCTAGCTGGAGTTTGCTGTGCAGGAGTTGTGGTTGTGGGGTTTCACGAGAGGTTCAGCACTGCTTACGTGTATTTATGAGTTCTCTGTGTTTCATAAAGTACCTGGATTAAAAACAGGGAGAGGCATCCATCAGAAGACAGAGAGGACACAGTTTACAGTGACTGCCTCAAGCAAAGGCCAGTCCCATGAGCCACATGCTACGGCTAAGCCTTACTTGTTTATTCTTCATGTAATGATTGGGAATCATTACATTTTTGATAACAGGTATCCCTTTTATATCTTTAAAAGGAATCCACACAAGGCTTCATATGGAGAAAATCTATTTTCTTGATAGGTGATGCTTTTGTGTAGCCGGCAGGGTCCCCTCTCTGGACATCTGTCTTCCCTTTTGTACCCAACGCTGATGGAAGAGAAAACAGTGCCCCAAATCTCTCCCATATATGTTTGGCTACACCCTCTCCTGGGCTCCATAAGCCCCTCACCTACCCTACCTGAAGACTGTCTCCTAAAGGTCCAGGAGGGCAAGGGAGACAAAGACAATGATACTTGCCAAGCACATTTAAGCACCCCAGGGTAGTCAGTATCGGCCACTAAATCAAAGGTCATTTCCTGGAGACCAGCTCACTGGGTAGACTCCCAGACTATGCCCACCATGTAAGTGGCCTTCCAGAAACAAAACAAAAAACCCAACAACAACATCGAGATCACAAGTCCCTGCCCTTCGGTCATGTGGAAGCCCCAGCACAAAATCCAATGCATTGCAATTTGCATTGAGAAAGCATGTTACCCTGAAGATGGAGAGGAAGAGAACATTCAGATACATGTACAGCTGTAGATGCCGACCATCTTCAGCTGTGCCAGCATGCAATGTCTGCTACGAAGAGGCAGCTCAGGTGCACCTCCTCGCAGGAGCTGTCCCGGGCCGCCACTCTCACCCCAATGGCTCACCAGGCCTACCCCTCAGCTCCTGACGGTGCGGAGGCATCACAGGCCTGGCTCACCACCGCAGTTAAGATGTGCTCTAACGGTACCGAGGTCAGAGGACTTTAGTGATGAAGAGAGAATTCATGGAAAGGGCTTAACACAGGGAAGGGTTAGAGAGATGGTCGTTACCGTTGCAGTGAAACCCCACGGTCGTGCCCCGTGATAATATGAATGGGTTGTGTGTATTTGGGTGTCAGGAGGTGCCTTTGTTCTTGAAACCTCATTCGGAGAGGTTAATAAATCCTAGGTCCATACGTTCTACATTCTATATACATATGTGGGAGGGGAGGGGGGAGGATGGAGTGTGTGTGCATGTGTAAGTGTATGCTAATTCGTTTCCATCTAGTTGGAATGCGAATGGCTTTTGGGACCTGTCACCAGGATGAAACCTGCTTGACTGCCTGAGGTTGACTACTGGAGGACCCGAAGTAGACACGGAAGACGGCTTGCTCCAGCAGTAAGCTCGCTCTTGGGCTCTCTCTCACAGGGCCTGAGGATGTGGGCAACACCACGGAGAGGCAAGCACGGGCTATCAGAAGGACAGTGTCCCTTGGTGGGGAGATCTTGGAGATCTAGGCACATGATTCAGGAGAAAAGCAAGAAATCACTCCTAGGGGCATGGCCCCAAGATCCCAGATGGCCAGTGGATTTCTTCTGGACTCCTTCCTTCATTCTTCATCCGGTTATCTGAAGGCCTCTGCAAGCCAGGCCCTGAGAAGGTAACTGTCAACAGAATAAGCAGAGCCCCTGGGTTCTCATGGAGCTGCACGAGGGTCCGGTCCACTGGTGGTGGATGCCTTGGTCCCTGGGTTCTCATGGAGCTGCACGAGGGTCCGGTCCACTGGTGGTGGATGCCTTGGTCCCTGGGTTTCTGACAGAGCTTGGGCAACCGCATCCAAGCTTGTGGGAAGAGCCACGGTTGATAGGGGAGGTCAGACCCGAGGATGGAATGGAACAGGGACAGTGGTACATACTGCCTACCTTCCAACCCTGCCCGGGCTTCTAGGCGAGTACCGCAGCTAAGCTGCTGAGCTGACGTGGGAGGGAAACAGGGCCGCCATGCCCCCTCCAAGGGCTGGAGGGGGAAACGGCCAGAGTTGTGGGCAGAAAAGGTGTGTGGCAACAGCAGGGGCAGCAGTTGCTTCTTCCTCTGCTTTCCCACAGCCAGATTTGTTCTCAACTCTCACTGTCAGAAAGGGAGGTACCCGTCTGGGCTCACTCCAAATGCTCCTCCAAGCCAGTGTGGGATGCGGATGCCCCAGTCTGTAAGGAAATTCCCCTGGTGAGACTGGGGGAAGTGGGCACAGGGAGGGGAAAATTAGGAAGGAGAAGAAAGAAATCACATTAAGAAAGATGGGGACTGAAGCCAAAAATAAAAACACGCCACCCCAGTTCAGTCCTTATTTGCTGGCTTAAATTGCTCTCCTGGAGTTTGCTGGCCCAGATGGCTCATCTCTGGTCTTTTGATAAATAACGAATTCATCCACATTTATGTGCCTATTAGAAGAGTCTTCTACATTCAGCAACTTCCCAGCTCCTGAGCCCCGACTTGAGGGTTACACTGAATCCCTCCCATCTCCATTAGGCTCTGTGAGCCCTTCGTGAGGGCCCCTCCTCGCACGCAGGGACACAATTCTGCTGAGGAGACAGTTTTCTGGACTTGGTGCAGAGATTCAAAGATGGCTCATAAAGAAAAACAATAAGTCAAAAGCTGGTTATGCATCAATCATTTCAGTATGTCTCTAGACCTTGAGGGGCACCCGACTCGCTTCCCTCTCCCGTAACGAGTCTGAGGAACGTGCACATCCCATTCATTCCACACACATTTGCTTGTCTGCATCCCCAGTTCTGCACTTCCAATGTGGATTGGAATAAATCACTTTTAAATTGCTCAGAGACACCGAGGAAGGAGTTAGAGGCAGAAAGGGTTATAAATGCAAAGCCTGACTAGTCTTTAGTGTCATTATTCCAAAGCCCAAGATTCATTCATTTCAGTGCTGCCGCTGTGTTCTGGGTAGAAGGGGAGCCTCAGCAACACACCGCCTCATTTTCATCATATTTGCCGACCGTTTTAGCCGTAATTCCACTCGGAGTCCTTTACCTATATTCTAGTCCTCTGAACAGGAAATACAAAATGGGATCAGCGACATCCTCTGAAAGTACCAGTTTTTCAAGGATAAAGAGATGACCCTTACACTCAAAAAAAAAAAAATTCCAGCTGTAATCCTTGGGTAATCTCAGGCAATCTCCGACCTCAAGGCCTGGGCCTTCCAGGCCTCTTCTCTGTTGCTCTCCACACATCAGGGACCTTAGCTTCGGCCTATCTCCCATTCTCTGACAGAGTAAGTGGACGGTCTGTAAGTAAGTGTTCTTTTAAGATTTGTAAGGCTGAGTAAGACATTCACACAGCTGGGTTAATAGAAGCGTATGGGACAGTGATGACAGAGAAGCAGCGTTGCCAACTGTAATTTTAAAGGAGCTTGAGTTTTTCCCACAATCTGATGTGGGGAAAAGTAAAATGAAGCAAAAATAGCACTACGGGTAAAGAGCCTGGACTTTCGGGCTTCCCTGGTGGCGCAGTGGTTGAGAGTCCGCCTGCCAATGCAGGGGACACGGGTTCGTGCCCCGGTCCGGGAAGATCCCACATGCCGCGGAGCGGCTGGGCCCGTGAGCCATGGCCGCTGGGCCTGCGCATCCGGAGCCTGTGCTCCGCAACGGGAGAGGCCCCAACAGTGAGAAGCCCGCGTATCGCCCCCCCAAAAAAAAAAAGAGCCTGGACTTTCTAATGATTCTAAAATGTCCTCCTAAGACAGAAGGTGAACGGAAAGCAAACAGTGCAAACCAGGGAGCACTGGTGATGGCCACCGTCATCAGACTGCAGATGACCTTGTAAGGAAATCAAATCTTAATGCAACAAACTTTCTCTCCTTTGGCCAAGGAGAGAAATTTATCAAGTGAATTTATTCATGGCATCACACACATGACTTGGGAGGTAGAAATGATCAAATGCATTTACCTATGGAGAAACTGAGGCAGAAAGGAGATGCAGATTCTTTGGGCTTGTGACTATCCACTGAATGTTCTTAAGTTTGTATGTTTATTCATGAGGCTGGTACGTCGAGGGCCTAGCAGAGCTTTCACTTGCAATAAAAAAATCGCGAGTCAGAGTTACCTCCAGGGTGACCTCAGTGACAATGGACAAGCCCAACTCTCTAGTCTATTTCCTCCCGTTTAGAATAAAGTCAACAGTAATACCTGCCCTGCCTACCTCTGAAGGCTGTGGTGAGAAGTACACAGGACAGCATCTACGAATATGCTTTCCCACACTGAAGTATCACACACACTGATCAGAAATGCTACGATGCCACAGAAGCTCATCCGCTCGGCCCCTCCCCTCTACCTGGACAATGAAAATGCAGTCAGGACCAGAGCCGAACAATTCACTACTGATAATGCAGGGCAGGGATCGTGCTTGCTTTCTTTGCCCCTGTATCCCTTGCACGATGCCTGGCACATAGGAGCTGCTCGAGACGTATTTGTAAAATTCACACATAAGAGCTTATTAATAAACATGAATTTTCATGATACGTATTACAATCCTCTTTGCTTATCTAAATAACTTACTGAAGTCTGATATATCTGTCTAATACCTGTGATGTTATCGTGTTCAATACCATAACCCTTTTAATGGATTGCAGTATTTTACCTAAAGAACGTGCAGCCTTTAGAGGCAGGAATCAGGAATCTATGCGATAAACATGTGAAAAGGTGCTCTGCCTCACTCACAGAGAAAGGTAACAAGCACTGACTGACAGACTGTATGATATCTGTGGAGCCATTTTGGCTATAACCTTTAAAACTAAAAACGTATATATCCTTTAGCCCAGCTACTTCTGATACGGAAAGATTTTTAAGATATATACGTTTAAGTTTTTTAAAAAAGAGCTTATTAATAAACATGAGGGATACATCAACGTGCCAGCCAACCCTTCAAGGCCCAACACGGATCTATTTGCAGGTCCCCTAACCTCACCGGGTTCGTCCATGTCAGAATTATAGACAGGCCAGAGACCACTGGGTGGACGCCCCCAGGGTGTGAAAACACCAGGCTCATCATGCTACTGAAATGACCGTCCATCAGCTGCTCCTACCCACCTGCCCACACCACGCGGCCTGAATTCTACATCTGTGACATTCAGACCCTCAGCCCCTCATCAAATTTTATCTTCCACTATTTCCCGACACACAGACTCGCTGGATTGGTCTCTTGGCTCTCCTGGGTGTGTCATCTCCACCTCTACCACCTGACTCACTGCCGTCTGTGCCAAATGCCAGGTGCATGCACACCCACATCCTTCACCTCTCACAGCTCTCACAATGCCATCCTTGCTCCCTGAGCCCCCGAGGACTCTTCCCTTGTCTGAACTTCTCCAGTGTCCAGTACAAATATTTTGAACAAGCAGGTGTGATGAAAAGCTAGTTGGGGGACGGGTTCCTTGAACAGGGGGGATTGGAGAGGTGCAGGAGTTAAGTGGCCCCAGGCTTGCTGGGAAAGCTGCTGCTCTCTGAGAACGTCTGATACCCTACTTTTCCTGTTTGCCTCCATGTCCCCAGCCCCTCACCTGATGCTTCTTGGCACAAAGCAGGTCCTCAGTAAATAAGTTTTTTCACAATTTGCTAACTTTTAAGCTACAGCTAGTCTAAAACCACTGCCCAGCAATGACCTGAAGATCAATGGTACCACTGAAAAGAAAGCACCGAAGATTCTGATCCCATTTGCAATGGCAAGAGAAACAAACCTCCGCACAACAATACTGATGCATTTTTACAAAACTACAAAAAACTTACCTTGGTTTCTCGGAGAAGAAACTGCAAGTCCCGTCCACTGAGGATCCCGTGGTTTTTCACGTAACTGGGAATGTTCTTTGTGCTGGAGCCGTAAACAGTCGCATGCACTTCCATGTATGTGTGAATGATGTCCAAGTAGAGCTTCTTATTCTAAAGAGGGGACACAAGGAGAAGGTATTTCTTTTTTCGTTCTCATAAAAACCTGCCTCATAGCTGGAGGCCACAGAGGCAGGAGCTCTTAACGTGGAGATTGCATGAATTTGGCAACCCCATTCCTAAAACTTCTTTCAAAAGTAATCTGACTGGATTTTGAGGGTAAAAACAGTCACGGGGATACTGTACAATTCTGCAAGAAGAAACGTATCCTATAGCGACATACTACTGAATAGTAACGATGGCTCAAGACCAATTGTTTTGAAGTACTGTCCTAGCCTTGTAAATTACCGGGGACCCAACACTTTGCTTTTGGCTTGTCCTCCTTGTGGGGGAGTAAGTTTGGGGAAGGAGAGCTCAGAGAAGGCAGTCAGCTGGATTGGAATATTTATCTGGAGACGCTAAACTGTCCCCGAGGAACGCAAACATCCCCAGCTCTTGCCAGTATTTCTAGTGATGATTAACTCATGTTGTCAGAACTGGATCCCACCTAATTCGGATCATGGGGGGATGAGAGTTTCCCACAATATACACTGATTGACTCAGCAGATGCAGAGATGATGAGAATATCCAGGTAGACAAAAGTGGAAAAAATGTTAAATGGAAACTTTGATGAGCCCTGAAACATTCAAGAGTAGTTTTACTTTTCTTAGAAGCAAAACAAAACCTCTCCTCTGTGTTGGTAGGAACTGAATTTCGAGGCACATCTTCTAAATCAAAACCACCTGCAAGTAGGAAGCAAACTCCCTTTCCCTTCCTCTTCATGTTTCCGTGTGACTAAGTCACACAAGCTGGATTTTGTGGGTTGTCTTTTGGGGTTTTTTTCCTGGACATTTGAAAGATTCAAGTGCTGTAATGTTTTCCAGTTGTATAAAAGTGGGACAGGGTTCTTCCCATTTGAAGCCTGTTTTCACACACTCCAGGAAAGTGTAATAATCGCCGGTTTTGTGACTTAAGACCGCAAGGGACACGGGGGTGTGGCATCAGCAGCCACAGAGCACATGATGGGCTCTGAAGAGAGGAGGGTCAGCAACACCCCTGGGGTGCGGGGCCCTCGCTCTGACCTGCTAGGACAGCTCCAGGCATCCTGAGCCCGGTTCAGGGTCTACCGTCTGCCTACATCTCGCAGGTGAGAATACTACAAAGCACTCAACTTTGGGGGATACACGTTTCAAATCCTGTAACCGAAGTCTTCACGACTGGAAAAACAGTACAGTCCACATTCTCCATTTTATGCACTGAAAGATTCTGTTTTGTTTGCAAGCAATGAAGTCCACCCCTGCACCCTACTGTGTGAATAAAATGAACATTCCGAATCAAAGTCTAATTTCATGCCACGTTCGGCGTGGCTGGAAGATGCTAGGTTCATTACCTCAGAGATGTATACCCTTCCATTCGTGCAGAGGTGACTAGGAACAGTTTATAAACCATGACTCCCATTCAGCTTGAGCCAAATTGAGGATCATCTTCCTGCTGTGAGTTAACTCACAGCAGTGAGGGGGTCTATGACACAGTTTTTGTGCTAGAGGGACCTGATTACTCCTGAGCCCACAAACCCCCTTTCCCAGGGGCTCTACCTCCACCCCAGCCCCTGGTAGGTAGGCAAGGGTTTCTGTAACCCTGCCCACCCCCCTGCCACTCCTGACCGGCCCAGGGTGTGTCTGACCTGAGGGGAACCCATCCCCAGGCTGGCCAGCAGCCTGGGACAGAGTGGCCGGGCTCAGGACAATGAGCTGTGCTGGTCAGACCCTCTCTCAGGAGCTCAGAGTCCTGCTCACAGAGAGATGACTGACAGACGGCTGGGGTTGTGGAGCAAAAAGGTCATGCGGTGTTGGAGTCCGGGCAGTTATGGACCAGATGCAAGTTCTGGGGAAGTCAGATGACAGTCTTGGGGGTGAGGGCGAGAAGAGAACCAGGTAAGAGCTGAAAGGAGGAGAGGGAGACAAAGATGCATAATGGGTAATAAGAGGGACCTGGAGTGACTGCGACCTAGACATTCCCCCGTGAGTGTGATAGAAAGAGAGCAGGGGTGGGGAGGGAGGAGGGGAAAAGGAGGGGGGAGGGAGAGAGGGAGGGCAAGGGGGAGGAGGAGAGAGAAAGGGGGAGGGGGAAAGAGGAGGGGGAGGGGGAAAGGGGAGGGGAAAGAGGAAGGGAAGGGGAGAGGAGGGGAGGGGGAAAGAGGAGGGGAGGGGGAAAGAGGAGGGGAGGGGGAAAGAGGAGGGGAGGGGGAAAGAGGAGGGGAGGGGGAGAGGAGGGGAGGGGGAAAGGAGGGGAGGGGGAGAGGAGGGGAGGGGGAAAGGAGGGGAGGGGGAGAGGAGGGGAGGGGGAAAGGAGGGGAGGGGGAAAGAGGAGGGGAGGGGAAAGAGGAGGGGAGGGGGAAAGAGGAGGGGAGGGGGAGAGGAGGGGAGGGGGAAGAGGAGGGGAGGGGGAAAGAGGAGGGGAGGGGAAAGAGGAGGGGGAAAGAAGAGGAGGAGGGAGAGCGATGGGGAGGGGGAGACAGACTGATGAGGGGGGAGGGAGGGGGAGGAGAGAGTTAGAAGAGGGGATGGAAAGAAAGGTAAGAGGAGGAGGATGAAGGGAGAGGAAGAGAGGAGAGAGTGAGAAAAGAAAGCAGAGAGACAGAAGGGAGAAAAGCAGGGCCCAGAGGTGCTTCTGGGTCCCACCCCATCAGCCCGAGAGTCTGTCTGGACCCTTAGAATAATACCAGCTGCCCAAACTCCCCCCCCCCCACACACACACACTCTTCTGTCTGGGCCCCTCTGGCTGGATCCCTCCCATCTAAAGGGAGGCCTGTCAGGATGTCATTCAGGGCTTTCGGCAGGGACGAGGCTGGGGGCAGGCATCTTTTCTTTAATAAAGCAAATAGAGACATTTCCCTGTGAAAAACCAGCTGCTAACTAGTCAGGATGGACCAATAGCCCCTGAACCGGGTCCGCAGTGAGCGACAAGGGAGAACAGTGAACGATCACCCAGGTCCTAACCTGGAGATGAATGCTCACGGCAGACAAACTCGAGGTTAGGATTCCCACACCAAATGCCTGGGAAGACGCATGTCCTGCCATCCATCCCAGAAAAGGCTGGGGCTCCTTGAAGTTTAACAAGGGGGCAAGTTCAGGCGAAGAGAAAGAAGTCTATGCCAAGGCTGGTAAAGTCTATGAACTTATTAACAAGAAGGCACGGTAAAGTCTGAAAGCAGAAATTCCATTCAGAGAGGATTTCTGTAATTTCATGAAGGAGGAAATCACAACAGGCTATTAGAGGGAAAAAGAAATGGTTCAGATATAACCCTAACCTTTCAAGATGACATGACAATGAAGTGATTCCACCTCAGGTCTCTTGTTGCCACTTGTCAGAATTCTGAAGAAACCTGGCCAGGGTGATTCCCCAGGGTGATTCCAGGGAGGAGCCGCCCCCTTCCTTCCCAAAGTGAATGCTCACCGGATGAGAAGGGAACCCAAAGAGGCATCGCCAGCTCCAAACCACTGCCTGAATTTCACAAAGTCCAACTGCCTCCTGAACCTCCCCTCCTGGGTTGCCACGGACACTTCCACGCCTTAACAGGTCATTCAGTGCCTTACTTTCCTAGACCAGAAACCCTACCCCCAGGCTCCCGATCTCAGTGATTGGCATTCGTCTCCTAGCCAGGTACCAGAATCACACTTGGCATTCCACACATCAAATTAGTCACAGAGCCCTGCTGATTCTGCCTCTGTAATATCCAATTGTCTCCTCCTCTCCAGGCTTTGATCCTTGATCACCTGGACTGCGTCAGGATGAACACAACCAGCATCTTAACAATCTGCCTGCAGCTCAAAAAGTTGAGCAACTAGTCCATGGTTTCTACAAGTGAGCAGCAGTGCTGGGACGGATTGCAAAAGAATCTGTATGGCTCGATGCCATTTTTTAACCATGCAAAGCAGTAGTAGTCCATGTTAGGCATATCAACAATATTTTTACATATGGGCATTTGGAGTTAACTACAAAAATATGCATGGGGATGACAGATACAATTTCCAGCTATTGATCACTGAGAAGGGAAGGGAGGGTCTGGGGAGGCGGCTGGCGCTTTCATGATATTTGAACAATATCATTTTTCTCTTAAGAAAACAATTGGACAATATCAACATCTACACATCTGGGTGGTGGGCATATTTGATATATTTCACAACTGAAATATAAAAATTAAAATACATGCAACCAAGAAAGAACAGAAACCAGTCGGTATGACACCAAAGCTTGCACCACTGCCATCTCACTGGAGGACCTAGTTTTTGCCAAAAAGAGGTTCAAAGGATCTCTGTCTCTCCTCAATGGAAAATGCTATCTTTTGTGTTTAAGAAATAAGGATAAATTAGGAGTTTGGGATTAACATATACACACTACTGTATATAAAATAGACCTACTATACACGAGGACCTACTATATAGCACAGGAAACTCTACTCGGTATTCTATAATAACCTATACGGGAAAAGAATCTGAAAAAAGAATAGATATATGTATATGTATAGCTGAATCACTTGGCTGTACACCTGAAACTATCACAACACTGTGAATCAACTATACTCCAATATAAAATAAAAATTAAGAAAAAAAAAAAAGAAAGAGAAGGCGCTGCAGTTTTGTAAATTAATCATGGTCCTGGCCTGCCTTTCCCCACCCACGGGAAGGCCCCCAGTGGGAGGGGTGTGTGTGCAACAGGGACCACTCCCCTCCTGATTTTGGACATCCAGGCCCACGGTCAAGGTGACAGCCCGGAACTGGGGGTCCCACTGATCCAAGAACTGGACCAATACCACTCTCCAGAAAGCTTTCCTCCTCTGACTTAACAGACCAAGGTCAGAGAAAATCGTCTCCACCATAAACCGCATCACCTACAAATTTGTTGAGACACAGTCCAAAAGGGCTTGCAGGGACTCACCACGTCGCGGCATGCCACCACCCCTGTCTTGGGGGTGAGGTGTGCCTCCAGAAGGTCCCAGCTAGCAGCCTGCAGCC